AAATAAAGTATTTTGATAGTCGATTCGATATTTATGCTGATCAAAAACTAGCGGCGCCTTTTAATTTTGATGGCCAACACTCAACTATCGCATCGATGACATACATATCGCAACAATATTGTAACAACATATCGCATTTAACTGGCTCATTTTTATCGTGATATCATAGCTCATTTGGATTGCATTTCGCAAAAAGGAACCAAGAGCATTCCAATGTCGCTAAGATTGTGCAACGTTTTATCTCTTGCGAATATAGACTGGTCATCGAAACAAATTTTATTTTTACTCCCAATGAACTATAAATTCAAAAAAATGCATGCATAAATTCATGCTCTCGGTGCCTTTTTGCAAAATGGAATCCATTTTACATTCCAATTTTACCGGAATATGAAATTTCTCGCCAACACCTTGGCAACGGCGATCGGTGCACTTTCTGACACCTCCTGTCTCCCTGAGAGTTGGGGTGGTTCTGTGGTCTACACACTGTTTGCTGGGTCGGCTTTGCAAGTGAAGCTCATGTTTCCGCGTAATGGCTCCTTACTCGCTGCGTTACTTCTTTCGCCGCTGAAAAATGGAGCCGAGCCGGGAATCTGACGAACGCCGGGCGGGCGGGAGAGCGCGGTGCGTTCTTCGTCTGACACCTCGCATGAGCTGAAAACAGGGGTACCTTCCGCGCACCTTAAAAGCAATGCATGGAACCGCCTCCCTCAAACACTTCACAAGTTGCATGACCATCTCGTGCAGGGAAATTGCTATCTACCAAGAGCGTTTCATTACTCATCAAGGAGCAATTTTTAGTGCCGAAATACCCCTCAATCAAAAGTAAGCAAGCGTGCGCTTACGTATTTAGATCAGTAGTATCGAAAGTGTTTTGTTTTTGAAGGTACATATGTATTACGAATATAGATACAAATTTTTAAGTGCAGCCCGAGACCATGGTCTCAGTAGAAAAACAAGGGGAAAAACGGGAAACAAGTCTAAAATACACAATTAATAAAAACCGGGACGTTTCGACTCAAACTTGATTTTTCTTGCACCATGTAGGGCTCAGGTTTTCATCGTTTTTTTAAAAGTTTTTTTATTGTATTTTCAACTGAAAATGACTCATTGTTGAGTCGAAACGTCTCGGTTTTTATTAATTGTGTATTTTAGCCTTGTTTCCCGTTTGCCCACTTGTTTTTCTACCGTATTACGACCACAAGGACTCTGTGAGAAGCTGATGTAAACTGGGAAGTAAATATTCCAACGGGATTGTTTTATCATTAAAAAGCGATCGCGGACTGTCTCGACTAGGAAAGGTTTCTCTCTTAAACCGAAAAATGACCATTTTCCGCGTAAACATTTAAAATAATAAACTATTTTTTATACGTCAAATGTAGTATATCAAACAATTCATTCCGAATAAATTTACCATTTTCTACTCACCTATTTTATTCTCGTTGGTCTCCAGGGGAAAGTAGGGTCATAGGTTGAATTACGCTCGACGATGAGATTTTAAACCACTTCTTCCTCAAAGATTTCCTCCAAAACATTTCAAAATTATCATTACCATCAGCATATATTTAGTTTTAACTGATCAGTGAGGAAGTTGCTCCCATCGTCCCCCTTAATGTACGAAACTCCCTATCCATGCAAGTTTCTCCGCCAAAAAGCCCCGCAGAATTGGTCTACCGGGGCTGGAAAAACGACGATTAAGAACTAGCAGAAGCCTTGCGAAAAAGTATGGACGGAAAGAACCGAAGAAGTCAAGTGTCAGGGAAAGCGGAGGAGGGAGGGGGTGCTGAGCTCGACCAAAACGAGCTGAAATGGCCCTGGGGGCTGCAATTGAAGGGGTAAAACGTGATGTGAGCAGGTTCGTCCCATGACGGTAACTGCAGGCGTCCACTGAGCTCACAGCGCAACGCCCGCCGCGCTGAGTCATTTCGGACCCTAGTCCTCCATTTAAATCCATTATAAATAATCGATTCTAGGCGAGGCCAACTCTTTCGATAGGTATTGATTGCTTCACATATATTTAAACATACGAAATCTAATGTTATCAACTTGCGCGAATCACCACTACTCTGCCGTGCTGAGGAAAAACGCCGTATGAGCCTTTAGACGTTGCCGGATTGCCTTTACTAAAAACCGAATTTACTGGAAAAATGTTGAAATTTTTTTCGGATTTTTGCAGATACTTTTGTTCGCTACTTGATCAAACATTTTTTTTGTTGCCCGTTATTCTCAATTTCTAAGGGGAGTGCCGATTCCTTGATGACTTGAAGGAGGAACGAGTTTTGTGGCGGTTAGGCGTCGCAGAGTGCCAGAGAGCGCTGTGAGAGCAACTTTCATGTATGTATTCTCAATTTCTTCTCTTCACTTTGTTGATCATTTAGAGAATAGGTGAACTTCTTTTACTTATAGTGGTGTGAATATCAATAATAAATTATGCAGGACTTGTTTTCAAACAGTTGATGAAGTGGCAGAAAGGGAGCCTTCCTTCACTTTTTAATCGTAATTTTCCGACTTTTCCTCCTCATTTCGTCAAACCTGTCTATTCCGGAAACCTGACCCCAACAGAAAAATCGGGAACAAACGGTTGATAAAACTCACGCGTCCTCTCGACCAAGGACTGAGAGAACAAAACCAGTGAAGAGGCGTGAATTATCGATTTATCGATATTTCCCCGTTTGAAGCGCTGGTAAAGAATCATAGAGTACAATAGAGTCGCAAAGTACTGGAGCGGCGATGAAGCCAATCCATGAACAGGCGTTTCCGAGCCGCGTGTGCTCCGAAAATAGTGAGCCATTTGCGAACCCAACGGCATTTTGTAACACGGCGGCTTATGGAGAAATCAAGAACTGCTTGTGTTTTTTAGGTATTTTATAATTCAATCAGCATTAATTTTTGCAAATTTTGCTATTTAAAGGTAGTCAAAGCCATAATGAATCCATTGATGTATATTACTCCTGGATAATATTCATATTGGGATTTAATTTCTGACTTATACCAAGTGTGAACCAACCGGCATTTCTTATCACGGCGGCTTACGGGAAAAGCAACGACTGCCCGTGTTTTTTCGACATTTTTTAATTCCATCGATATTAATTTGTGCAAATTTTGCTATAATTAGATAGTCAAAGTCATAATGAATCCATTGATGTAGGTATATTACTCCTGGATAAAATTCATATAGGAATTTAATTTCTGACTTATACCAAGTGTGAACCAACCGGCATTTTTTTACACGGTGGCTTATGGAGAAATCAACAACTGCTTGTGTTTTTTCGACTTTTTTTAATTCCATCGGTATTAATTTGTGCAAATTTTGCTTGAAATAGATATTCAAAGCCATAATGAATCCATTAATGTATGTTACTCCGAGATAATATTCATATATGGACTCAATTTCAGACTTATTACCGGCCTACTTATTTTAGCTGGTTCAGTGTGTGTCTAGCCGACGAACGGAGCCGAGTCGGGACTGTCGGGAGTGGGGAGCGCTGAGCGCGAGTCTCTGCGTATGCGTCATCGCTAGTCGCCGCACACTAGTCTCCGGAGAACTGGACAAAACAGCCTCGAAAAGTGACTTCATCGGCGATCCAGTACTTTGCGACTCTATTGTACTCTATGTAAAGAATCGACTATTAAGGTGTTCGTTGCAAACACCCTGCTTATCGATCCTTTTCCACGGGTTTAAATGACAGACCCATCGATTTATCGCGAAGCATGCCACGCCACTGAACAAAACACAAGCTGCAGTTGCGCGAAGCATGAAACCGCGGCATCACAGTCGCGTTATGATTAATATTCGAAGCCGCCGCGAAGCCAGAGATGAAGACGACGAAATCGAAAGTAATAAAATCGGGCAATCAAATCGAAATCGACACCCGGAATCGCCTGTCTTAGCTCTGTGCGCACCCGGCAAGTTTCGTCTTTTCTATTTTAACCTAAAGCGTTGCACAACACTTATATACGGTAGAGGAATTGTTTTATTCTAATCTTGCAACCTCGTTTCCGGTGCTCCATGTTTCTGGGCGGAAGTTTTTCTTGCAGAATGGATGCAATTTTCCCGGCGCCTACGCGGCAGTGACGTGGCGTGCTTTGCGATAAATCGACTGATCGGCCATTTAAACCTATGGAAAAGGATCGATAAACAGGGTGTTTGCAGCGAACACCTTAATAATCGATTCTTTAGCATGGGTTTAAATGACATAAAAATCGATATATCGCAATTCACGCCTCGCCACTGCTACGCGGTTCCGGGTGTACGGTATTCTCGACACACGAACGTCATTTTTAGAATCCCTCCATTGCCATTCTTGAAACGAGCACTTAGGACCAGTTGGAGGGACGCATTGAAATATTACACATTTGAAACTTTTGTAACGTTCAAATTGATTCGTGAACATATTTTTTCCATGTTTGATGGAGGTTAATATCATCGTTGTTTATGCATTTTTTCACCACATTATACGATTGTTTCAAAGTCTGAGTCCGGTTGATCGAAATTTCCTTTAAAAAATTGAGGGATTCTTGATCAAAATTTTACGAAAATGTAATCGAAATTTTATGAAAGCGAGTCTACATTTAGATATCAGTTTATGAAAATTTGGCGTTGAATGGCTTAGTCTCAAAAGTAATTAATATTGATGGTGTGTGATTTTTCCTTAACATTGCAATCCTCAGTTTTTAAATTGTTTAATTACATTAAAATATGTTATAATAAATGAAGGCTTTATTTAGATGAATGATACTTGATTTGGAAAAGACATCGTGGAATTTTTTTTTTTTCTTCACTTCACTCAAGTTCTCTACACAATATTTCTGACTCTGCGAATGTTGCGAAAAACCTACAGATAACATTTCAAGAACAAAACAAAGCTGGATCGTTTTCATCCATAAAAGTTTGAATACTCTCCTCCATACGTTCACTTCAATGGATGATGAAAAGGGGAAAAAAGAAAAAGGAAAAAAAGAGAAAAGAAAAAAAAGGATAAAAAGTATCACAAGAAACTTACCAAACGCTGATGTATCAATGATCATGGCGCTCATCAAAATGAAAAAAGCTGACAGTGAAATTATCATAATGGTGCGCGATCATGACCTAAATTTTGTACCTGAAACAAAATTGAAATTTGTTTTAACAACACTTTCCAAAAACGATGTTCCCTTTTTCAGTGCAGAAATAAAGTTTTCCTTGGTGAATATGTGTACTGCGATGGGAGGAGATGTCTCAATTTTTATACTTTCATGTCTATAAGTATTGTTAATCAGTGGCGTGGCGTCGTGGCGAGAATTGCGATATATCGATTGATATGTAATTTAAACCTATGATAAAGAAGTGATTATAGACGAATTTAGTGGTGACGTCACGGAGCGATATTGTTGGTTCGATATCTCGAAAGTCGAAATGTGCCCCAACAAACAAACATAACCTCCAAAATGAACAATTGACGAAATAATGCTAAAACTGCCTGAAACTAAAAAATTGCTCCATGGGACTTTAAAATTATGAAAGCTATGCTTTAGCTTTTGTAAATGGCTATTTACAAAAACGTTCGAGATCATAATCACAAGAATTGATTGTATAATAAGCTCGTAATATCAGTGACAGTCATAAAGCGAATCCTCCTACCCCCCCCTGCCTAAATCCCGCAGATTCCTATAAGTTCGTTTGTTGGGGCACGTTTCGACTTTCGAGGTATCGAAATTAAATCGAGATGTGACGTCACACTAAATTCGTCTATTAAGGTGTTCGCTGCGAACACCCTGTTTATCGATCCTTTTCCATAGGTTTAAATGGCAGGTTATTCGATATATTGCAAAGCTCGCCACGCCACTGTTTTTAATGCATCCGACTCGTCCTGAGTATCCGAGTCCATCTTTCGATAACTCCGCATTTAATGACCATTTATGGTATGAAATTTGAGATTTCGAAAACGCTCTAACGAAAATCGGATAATTTTTAAGAAAATGTGATAATTTTTACGGTAAATATTGGCGTGTATTTCATGTAGCTACTTGTCAGGAGTGTCGGAAGGAATATCGTCTTAAATGGGTTTGTTTGATCGATGAACTGACCCTGCGCACTAAATTTCAACGGAATCAGTAGTGGTGGGATTTTTTTTTTATTTGTTGTTGTTCGTAAAAAAGCGTAGCTATCATACAAAATAAGAACAATTCGTTTAGACTGATAAATGGATTGCATTTTGCAAAAACGAACCATGAGCACTCCAATGTCGCTAAGATTGTGCAACTTTATTCACCTTGTAGACATAAACTGATTAATTAAACACATTTTATCTTTACTCTTGATTCCATAAATTAACGACGAAAATTACCCTCCTAAATTTAATTGTTTCATATGACCTCAGTGATTTTTTTTGCAAAGAATGTAAGTTGCAGTTAGCACAATCGTTGCAACATTGGGATGTTCTTGGCTCCTTTTTACAAAATGCAATCCAAATGTCATTCATCACTGATATAATATTTATGTAAAATTTCTTGAAATATCGCATTAAGGAGTCATTACTGTAGAATATAAAATCTTAAGAGTAACGCTCAACGCATGAGGCCTGAGGGGCGCAGCNGGGGGGGGGGGGGGGGGGGGGGGGGGGTTGGACTGCGAAGCGGTCTGAAGTAAATAATAAAGAATAAAACAAAAATAAAAGAAAATAAACCATAAAAAAACTTTGTCATAGAAGTTTCATGACGATATTATACGGAATTTCAATACCAAATACACAGAGACCACTGTGTTTGTAATAAAGGTCTGTCATTGACCACACAACTTCGGACTCGCGCATTAGGAAGTTCGGAAGTTTCCAAATCACGGAGAAACTCCTCTCTAATAGACTTCCTTTGCTTATCCAGAGTTAATAAAAATCAGCTTTCGGATAAATAACTCACAGAGTGTTCTGCGAGTGTTTGTATCGTTTTGCGGTAGGTCTGCTCTTGATTTGCGTGGTCTACTTTGAAAACGCACCGTGATATGTCTGAGGTTGACGAGGTGATCACCTCACGCTTCATCCCACACGGGCAAACCTTTGTCAAACTTGTTCGACCAACCCGAGCATTGTTGAAGGATGGCCTAACTTCAAGTTTTGCCTGACCAACTTCAATTCAGCTAAAACTCGGTCCAACGCAACGGACTAAATGCGTCGAGCTGACCATAAAGAGTTTGCTTAACTGATCCAACCAAAATTCTGTGGAAATAAGCCCTTGAAGCATGGGTCTAAAGCCTCCACAGTCCTCAACAACCCTTCATGTCTTAGAGAGCTTTGAGTGGTGGTAATAGTCACTGTTTGATTAAAAAAAAGTAGTACGTAGGTACAAATGCATTCACCATGTTTTGACCATGAACCATATCAGTGCAATCAAATACTTTTAAAAACATCTTTCACGAAATAATACATAAGTGAATGTAATGAGTTTAACATGCTCTGACAAAATTTTCTATTATTGTGACGTTTCTTACTATTTACATAAGGCTGACTGAAAAATTAACTGATGATTCTAATATCACTCAATCTCCATTCATATACCTATCGCCGATAATGTAGGTATATTTTCCGATTTTCAGAAATGTCTTTTCAGGTAGATCTTTAGTTTTTGCGCCACTGCATTCCGGGTCCGATCGATATTTTTTTAAATTTTAACCGTAAGGTGGGTTATTTTGAGGGAATCGAAATTTCAATCCGTAGAAAAATCATCGAGGAATGTTGGTGCTGCGGAAATCATCCTCCAAAGCCTATTAACAAAATCATAAGTATTATTCCCAATTAAACATCAAATCGATACACTCAAATGGGTTGGAAAATGAAACCAGTTCTCTAGATGATATTTTCGGATTTTCAAAGATGATTATTGGCAAAAACGTTCCTTAATGATTGATCTACAGACCAAACTTTCAATTTTTCCAATCTAATCTACTAAAATGGTTAAAATTCGAAATTTATAAATTATTATACCCAGAATGCACTGCGCAAACTCTGAATATTCACTTTAAGAATCTTCACGTACCTATTACGAATTACGCTGGAAACTGATAATTCAATTTTCTCTCATTTTTCCCCACCGTGTAAATTCTGAAAAAAGAAGGACGGAGGCTTTTCATGGGACATGAACGCAGGATTGAAAATGCCTCTTTGTCTACGATTCGAGATCTGGATTGAAATTAAGAATCTTCTTCTGTAAAGCTGGAGGGCCGACGAGGAAATCTGTTTCTTACCACGTAGGTTTCTAGTTTTCGCTACGAAAAAATATTCGAGGACTGGAAGAAATCTAATTTCTCGTTTCATCTCCGACTTGGTGCGGTAGACGGAAGGAACAAACGCTCCTATATCGATATTAACTTCGTTTCAGCAGGGTACGGCAGGGAAAGGCAAACATAATGTTATTGTTGGCGAAACTCAATTGTTGGCTTGGTTTGTAGCTATCAGCAATATATAAAAGATTACCTTCGAGTTTCACGACTCGATTACTGCATTCTCGCGTCTACCGAACAAACGCAGGGTTGTATTAGGAGCTCAACTCAGTTAAAAAAAAAAAAAAAACAAAAAAAAAACAAAACAAAAAAAAACTAAATTTTCTATGTTAAATTCATTTTTGTGATAATCAAATTTTTTTTGTGGCTCTAGAGATTTTATGTAAATCTTGAGTGTTTATCATTTAAATAAATATTCCTCTACACAAATAAATCATTGCTTTAAATGATGCATGCATGCATGGTTATATACAATTATACTTATTTACCTTATATTTTACGCCCATTAAAGCCTACACTTTAATCCATCTCCTTTTAAGCCACACCGAAGTCGATCGAAAAATTGGTTTTCTCTGTAAGGATGGCACTACGGGCATTAATTATGAATTTGGACATGCCGAAGAAGGCCCTCAATTTGGTGTCGGGATAATTTAACGATTGCATCTGATTAGGATTAGAAAAAATTAAATTTAATAACATCAAAAACGATCTTTACAGGGAGTTACGTTATTTTTACCACCAATTGACAAATACCAAATAAAAAAGAGACCTTAATTGCTACAATTCTGCTTTGAAACTATACAAATCCTTAATTCTTAAGCCTTCTATTTTAGATTTACTATTTCAAAATTAGAAGTCAGAGGAGACAGGATCCGGCCCGAAGACCTAATGATACAAACTAACAATTAATATGGAAACAGAGTGAATAAAATATTAGAGTAAATCGGTAAAATGTGTGACATTAAAGGTACGAAGACTAATCAAGACATCGAGTACAGCGCTGAAACTGATCAAAAGTTAAATAATACACTAACTAGCTATGCAGCAGCTTCCTGAGACAGGTCGGAATGACCTGAGGGTATACTGGGATTATCGGCTGATTTGTTATAAGTAATGGAATTCTCAGCACCATTGGGCAACCGCATTTCAGGCTCGAACGTCTTTTAAGTCGAGGATGTTTTGGCCACCGCAAAAGAGCTGAATGCTTCTCTCTTTCTCATTTTCCTTCCTTCCTTGTGTCCCATTCTCCTGCTTGATTGAATTGAGGTACCTAATCTGAACCACTTTCCTTTCCTGGCGACATCTCCTTATACATTGCACGGTTCGTTTGAGTAAAAGTTATATGAAATTTGCTATCACTCAAAAAGTCTTTTCGGATTCGAAAAGTAGAGTGAAAATGGAGTCTTTCTAGCTAAAAATGAAAATAGGTTGTTCGAGCTCCTGGAGAAATATATCGTTTTTTGTATTTTTTAGGGCTTATTAGAGGGTGGTACGAAAATTGAATCAAATTTCGTCAATGTTTCTGTTTTAATTTCTAAACTAAGATAGGTATCAAAATGATCTTGGTTTCATTTTAAAGCTGGTGTAATTTGCCGTCGATTGAATGGTCTGCAAGCTAATTTTGTCAAAAATTGACAAAGTTATGATAGCTTGAATAAAGGGTATCCAAAATAAGCTTACTTGTTTTCCTTCTCGAGTAAGGCTCTATTTGTTCTTTTTTTCCCTTCAAGACCAAAAACACTAGAGTCAATCTGTAAAAATTACAGCATTTTTAGTACTCTCAGGTCTGTAACAAGCGTCAGATTTTTAAATTTGACCCATTGGTTCCGGAGAAAATCGATTTTTAGTTTC